CTGAGAGAAAAAAAAATAGAACAAGAATAAGGATATAATAATAAGAATAATGCTAATGCTAATGAAATAATGAGAACGAAGAAGGAGAAGAAGAAAAAAAGGGGAAGCACAAATAATAAGAGACGAGAAGAGATGCTGAGAAAAAAACAGAAAAAAACAAGAATAAGGACGATAATAAGAATAATGCAAATGCTAATGAAATAATGAGAACGAAGAAGGAGAAGAAGAAAAGAGAAAAGGGGAAGCGTATATAATAAAGGGAGACCACTAAGTTAGGGTCTCATCCCAGCGTGAGAAAAGGCCTACAAATCAATGTAGCTTCTTCATCAGATTCAGTTCCTGTAGGACTAAGAAAACTTAATATATGTGATCAAAAGCAAACCTTCGGTGCTTCGATATATATATTTTTTTTCATTTCACTAATATATATTGGGGACCTGAATAATAACGTTTAGTGGCATAATGAGTTTTCAATTTGGAGTTGGTTTCGATATTGTTGAAAAATTTTGTGGTTTTTGGTGCTGTCTATTGGGACCGACAAGGAAAATTGATGTCAAGTTTCCTCAGAACAGGTTTTGCATTTTCTTTTCTTTCCCTTTTCGTCCCTGTTTTATTTACTTATTCATTCATTTATCCGGTCATTTATTTGTGCAAAGCGCTTTTGTGAATAAAAATCAAAGTCTTAACAACTTAGTTTTAAATTTATTCTTATTTGTTAATATTATTTTAGCCAATCCACTAATTTTCCTCAGTGAAACTTATTGTAAAATATTTTTAAGGGGAACGTTATAAAACCCCTAAACCTCTAAAAACGCAGGTGTCGGATTTAAGAAAATATAACAAAAAAGTGGAATCCATATTACTTGTATCATTCTTCCCATACTTAACTGTGTTTCTTTCAGATACTAAAAAATGAAAAAGAAAAAAAAAATGGACCTTCTCCCTTCTATAAATATTTCACGCACAGGTCTCACTAAAGTCGCTGTAGAGAAGGGATCTTCAAATTCAAACGAACCATATTGATTTTTACACTACTTTCACGACCCAATCTATCGTACTCTTTTCTCAACCCGCAATCGGTTTATGTCTATCTATAAATATCTATCCATTTATACACACACACATATATAAATATTGTGTATACATTTATATTATATTATTATTATCATCACCATCATCATTATAATCATAATCATCATCACCACCACCATCATCATCATCACCACCACCACCACCATCATCATCATCATCATCATCATCATCATCATCATCATCATCATCATCATCATCATCATCACCACCACCACCACACCACCACCACCACCACCACCACCACCATCCATCATCATCATCATCATCATCATCACCACCACCATCATCACCACCACCACCACCACCATCATCATCATCATCATCATCATCATCATCATCATCATCATCACCACCACCACCACCACCACCACCATCATCATCATCATCATCACCACCACCATCACCACCACCACCATCATCATCATCATCATCATCATCATCATCATCATCATCATCATCATCACCACCATCATCATCATCATCATCATCAATCATCATCATCATCATCATCATCATCATCATCATCATCATCATCATCATCATCATCATCATCATCATCATCATCACCACCACCACCACCACCACCACCACCACCACCACCATCATCATCATCATCATGTGACGACCCACTGAACATGTCCTTGCGACCCAGTATCCCGCATTGTGAAGAACCTGCTACATAGAGAGTCAGGCAGCTGCCAAAGAACCGCCACTGATAGTCTGCATGCGAAGTACTCATGAATTCCTGTACACTACAAAACTACATTACATTTTCAGTCCAAACTTGCGGGATTCTGTAGTTAGATCCATGGACTTTTTTTTTAAGAGTAGACTTTCGATATCTCTAAGTTCTAGTTAAATTTAATTTGTCAGTGTTATCTTATCAGGGGATTTTGCACGTCTCGTTCTTTGAAGACAGGTTTGGTTTATGGCGCCTGGCAAGGAGAATTTATGTGAAGTTTCATCAGAACAGGTTTTATGTTTTTTTTTTCCTTTTCGTTCCTGTTTTATTTAGATATCTATTTATTAATTCGGTTATTGATTTGTGTAAAGACTCGTACTGTTGATATATGGCAAATATATTACTTATCACCTACAAGATCTACGCTACGTGGAATAATGATTGTAAATGACTTGACGTTATCAGAAAACGAACATCACAACCATCACCCAACAACAGCAAAAACAAGCGATAATAAAGGGATAATAAAGATGGTTATGATGTTATTAGTTATATCGATGGTGATGATAATAAGTTGCTTCTACTGCTGCTATTCCATTTGCTAATTATGATTACAGTAATAAGGATAATGATAATGATACGATTCAGAGCGACAATGACGATAGTAATAATGAAACAATCCTGCAATGCAGCATACAACAGTAAATGAACTCGATATCTACTTACATTGTTGGTTTCGGCTTTTTTCCGCGAGACCCCGGTACAAAATCCGCGATAAAGGGTAAGAATGCCCTCAGTCACTTCTTTCCTCACAAATACTTTCATATCCCGAAGTCAAGGAGAACATTTAACTCAGTGATCGAGCAGAGACGAGTTTCTGGTTGAGTTCAGTACTCGGGTTACGCGCTGAGACTGTCCCCTTCCCAGTCGCGTGTTTGTAATTTGCCGAAGATACGAGATCTATCACGTGACGCTATCCCGTCGCGATGAGAAATTTATTCAAATCGCTTTGGCATTCCTTCTCTGGACTCTGTTGATTATGATATATCAGCTTTACTATCCATCTGTTTATCTATCAAGTGTGGGAGTAACTTGTCGCAGGATTTGTAAATCAGGTTTCATATTATCAGCTGCAAAAAAGAGCGTTCACTTGTAAAGTTGCCAGACGTTCGACGAGAACTGACGGCCAAATCAGCTGTTCAGATTTCACCAACATTCAGGTAATCGCCTTCTGATTCTACGAGAATATGTTACCGGTAATATACAGTCCGTCGGGAATATAATGTTCGTCTTCATTCTACCTCTATCCTTCAACCTTCACTCCAGTTTTACCAGCAAACGTAAATAAAAATAGCTTGAAATAAATCTACAAATTACCTATATACACTTCATACACCGCAAGATAAGTCTTCCCCCTCTGCTTTCGAACGCGTCCCTCCCACTGGCCAATTTCAATCGAGATCAAATGTCAGGGCAACCAATTTTTACCGCAACAATAAAGTGGTAGACCCAGCAACTTTCGGTGACCAAACCGAAGACTTTACCGCTGCATATTGGACCACCGTGGGCCTGTGATACATTTACTGACCTGACATTTTGACAGGTTAAGTGGAGGGCGGGCCAAGGAGAAGTAGAGGAGTCTTAATTATAGAGTCCTTCTCCACGAAGTAGCTCACGCCTGACGGAACCATTAAAAGAGAGGATACCTCAGCTTCGTTAACTAAAGCCTGTTCATGTATTGACTCTGGATGTGTTACCGAGTGTGAGCGCCGTAGATTTTGTCTTTTACGGCCGACTGAACTTTTCGCTGTTGAACTTTACGTATTTAAAAAGCATTGATATTTATTTAGGGAAATTGACTAAATACAATGCATGGTGAACGTAAGCAACATATCTCGTCTGTTTATTTGTATATTCCAGACTATGTTTAAACCATTATTTCGTCTGTTATCTGCATGGTTGCGCATCCGTGGGAACTGTGAATCCGTGTCGCATGCTTGTCTATATATGCCATGGGTATAATGCTATTACATCTACTGCTGCTGTAGTACTGCTAATACTGCTGCTGTTACTGCAACTACTACTATTAAAGCTGCTGTTATTGCAACTGCTACTACTACTGCTGCAATAACTACGCTAACAACTACTATTGCTACTGCCACTGCAACTTCGACTCCTGCTACACCCACTGATGATTGATAATAGCAATAATACCAGCGACAAATTATGATCATGCTGTCAAAAATAAAAAAAAATGTGATAATGTAAACAATGACGATAATAATAACAATAATGATAAAAGTAAGAATAATGATAAAAGTAAGAATAATGATAATAACAATGATAATAATAATAATAATGATAATGTAAATTATAATAATAACAGTATTAATAGGAATATTGAATATTATTATCGCTTATGGTAGCAGTAATGATAACGAAATCAATAATATTGATAGTCATCATTATCATCATTATCATTGCCATCATCATTATTATTATATTTTTTTGTGAATGTTATTGTTATTAATATTATCGATATTATCATTGCATTCATTATCAATATTTTTGTCATTATTTTTATTAGTAATGGCAAAGATAGTGATGATAGAATACTAGTAATAAATAATGATAAGGATAATAGTGATGATAAAAACAACAGCAATGATAATAATGATAACAACAAGGATAATGATTATACTAATGATACTACTACTACCACAAATAATACTAATAATCATAATGATAATAACAGCAATTATATTTATGATGATAAAACTGATACTAATAATAATAATAATGATATTGATAATATCAATAGTAATCATGATGATACTAATAATGATAATGATGATAAGGATAACAATGATGCTAACAATAATAGTATTAATAATGATTATAATGTCAATTATAATTATTAGATTAACATTGATAATAGCAATAACAACGATAATTATAGCAATGGTAATAATAATAATGATAATAATAACAATGATAATGATAATGACAACAACGACAATAATAACAATAATAAAAGTAATAATGATAATGGTAAAAGTAATTATATAAATGATAATAATAATAACGATAATAACAATAATAATGATGATAATAATAACAATGATATCTGTTATTATCTTTACCTTTAATATTATCATCATTAATATGTTTCTTATTATTTTTATTATCATTCTTAACGCTATTATTATTATTATTATTGTAATTTTTATCATTATTATCATTTTCATTATTATCATTATTTTTATTATCATATCACTACAATTAGTATAATTTCTTATGTCTCTATTTATATCATCATTACTGCTACTGTTACTATTACTATTACAACTACTACTAATAATAATGACAATAACATTAATGATAATAGCAATGATAATGGAAATAACAATGATAATAACAATAACAATAATAATCATTGATAATGATAATGATAATAGTAATGATGATAATGGTAATTAGAATATTATTATCATTATCATTATTATTAGCATCATTATCTTAATGTTGTTGCTGACATTTTTATTATTATTATTACTATTATCATCATTGTTATTATAAATAGTACTATCAGTATCATTATATCGTTAAAATATAGTGATGAAAACAATTATGATAATAATAGGAATAATAATGATAAACACATCAACAATAACAACAATAATAATAAGATGAAATATAATTATAATAATAATTATTATTATTATTATCATCATCATCAATAATAATAATCATATTAACAATGATGATAATGGTAGTAACAGTAATAATAATAATGATGATTATGGTAATGGTAGTAGTAGTAATAATAATAATAATAATGATAATGGTAAAGATAATAATGATTACAACAATGACCGTAATAATAACAACAACAATAATAATGATAATAATAATAGTAAATGGTATTTCCGTCATTATCATTATTTCCATCATTATCATTATTTTTCATTATTATTACTATTAATATTATCATTATTATTATTACTTTCATGAAAATTAGTATCATAATTATCATTACTGATATTGATAATACCATCATTATTAGTTTTTGTTTTTATTATTACTATTATCATTATTACAGGTATTATTATTATTATTGTCATAATTGCCATCATTATTATCATTATTACACTGATCAACAACAAATTTATTTTCTAAAATGTTTTAGTTGATTTAAGACAATTTTGATGAGCTGAATCCAAGTATCAGAGGCGGGGCTTCCACGATGGCACGGGGAGGCACCCGCCCCCTGCAATCTGATTGGCCATCCCGTGTGCCCCCCATTGGCCATTGACTCGTCGTAATGGCCCTCTGTATGTCATCTGGCGCCCCCCCCCCTAGATTATTTATTTAACCCCACCAGTAAATTCTCTAGACCCGCCCCTGCCAAGTATCACATCGGCTTTGTTCAATCAGGCCAACTTTTTGAATTATGGCTACACGTTTTTTTACGCTTTTGTATACATGTTCGGGTTTTTTCTCTTTATACCAGGGTTCTCAACCTGGGGGCGTTCCCCCTAGGTGGTGTGATGCCTTTCATGTAATAAGTGAATGAAATAAACTAAGAGTCGGAAGGTTGTGGGGATTAGCCAGCTTTCAAATCCTCGCAGGCCTGCATCTGATATAGGCCTAGAGTTTATGGATTATCCTGGGATTAAGGAAATATCCGACTTGGTTAATCCTCTCTCTCTCTCCCTCTCTTATAATGTATATGTATATATATATATATATATATATATATATATATATATATATATAATATATATTATTATTTCTTGAAACTAACGAACTCTGAAGGATTTGCGTGCGCCAACTGGTATTTTTATTTTACAGGTGAATGAAATGGCTTCGATCAGATCTTGGGGGGGGGGGCGTATTCTGCTACATCTGCGGCGAATACACATTGTTCCTAACAGGAAGCCAGTCACAAGTTTGTAAAGCGTGATCGCCATGCTTATTTTGGTATTAACTTGGTGACCAGGCGCCTTTTTATCAGGCGCCATAAAAGGCATGCACCGAGAATCTGCGTCAGTGGAACAATGGCGAGAGGAGTTGCCTGAAGTTCGGAATTCCCATGCTTTGGAGGGAGCTGACGAACCATGTCACTGACTGTTCCTTCTGTGACACTGATGTAACTGAGATCAATGGAAAGAAACGGAGCAGCCTCAAATATCCTGATCTTCAATCGGCACGTCGGCCTGTAGATAACTGTGAAGTCCCAGTACCTGTCTTTGGAGACCTTCCTGACATTAGGGATGAACATTCCTCCTGTGATCACGATGAAGAAGACGAAGTAATTCTTGGCGATAATGCTTCACCCTTTTCCCGAAATAAGCTAAATGATCTAGGTCGCGATCTCAGCTTGTCAAAGTCCGGGTTCACCAAGTACCCATGCTTTCTGTGCATGTGGGATCGTAAGGACAAAGTTAATCATTAGTCAAAGAAGAACTGGCCTGTGCGAGAGTAACTAGTGCCTTGTAAAGGAAGAAACGTCAACAATCCACCGATGGATCGGCTTGATCAAACATCACCTACCTGGACAAGGATGGTGGCTGCTTCACTTCCTTCTGCCAGCCTTTTCCAAGACTGACCAAAGGAAAGTTGAAAGCTGGCATCTCTGACGGTTCTCAAATCCGTCATCTCATCAGAGATCCTGATTTTGAAAACTCAGTGAACTCAGTGGAACTGGAAGGGTGGAAGGCTTCTGTTTTGGTCGTAGAGAACTTTCTTGGCAACAACAAGGCCATGGACTACGTTGAACTTGTCACCAACATGATAACTGCTTTCAGAAACCACGGAGGCAACATGAGCATCAAAATATTATTCTCGCACAAAATATTATTCTCACACATGGATCGGTTTCCTGAGGATCTGGGATCAACGAGCGACAAGCAGGGGAGAGATTCCATCAGGACATGAAAGAGATGGAGGCGAGGTATCAGCGACGCCGGGGCGCAGTCACGATGGCTGGTTACTGCTGGACTCGTAAGAGAGACAGCCCGGCCGCTAAGCATTCTGGATGTGCAAATAAACAGTTCATGCCTTGAATTCTGAACACTGATGACGTAGCATTTAATTTCAGATGAGAAATATTAACAGAAATCAACCAATGATATCACAAAAATATAATCGATTTGGAAAGAAAATCATAAAAAAATCAACTTGACATAAAAACATGATCTGAACAAGAGAAACGGGTGTCATTTTCGAATTCAGCGATGCAAAATTGTACTGAAACAGTTGAAAAAAATAGACAACTTACAAAAAAAAAGATCAATATCATTATTACCGTTATGATTTTTTTGTGATTATTATCATTACGATTATCATTATTGTTATTATTATCATGATTATCATCATCATCATTATCATTATAATTATTTTTTTTATAATTTGATTGCCATTATTGTCATTGTTATCATTATTATTGTTCTTTATATTATTATTATTGTTGCTATCAATATCAGTATCATCATTATTATTATCATTATTATCATTGTTATTACTATTATTGTTATCATTATTATTAGTAGTAGCATCATCTTTATTATTAGGAGTATCATTATCATCAGTAGTAGTAGTAGCAATATTAGTATTACTGTCATTATCACCATTATTAAACTGGTTATCATTATTGTTATCATTATTATTATTATTATCATTATTATTATTATTATTGTCATTATTGTTATTATCGTCATTTTTATCATTGTTACCATCATTGTTATTGTTATTGTTATTTCTATTCTTGTTACTTTTATTATTAGAATTATCATTATTATTATTATTATTACTATTATTATTATTATCATCATCATCATCATTATCATTATCATTATCATTATCATTATCATTATCATCATCATCATCATCATCATCATCATCATCATCATCATTACTATTGCTGTTATTGTTAGTGCCATTGTTATTGCTATTATTGTTATTATTTTTTATTACCCATTACTATAATTTTGTTTTTGTCACAATTGTTATCACTGTTGTTATTATTAATGATAACATCATCAGTGTAGATATTATCCTTCTCATTATTTTTAGCATCGTCATTGTTGTTGTTTTTTATCAATAGTATTGTCAAAAATGCAAATGTCCTTTGTTATGAGAACAGCAACATCAGAAATAACAACAGAAATATGACAGTGGAAATTTATAAGACGTTATCTAATACATGAGAAGCATAAAAATCTTGAACCTGGCAATGTTAAGAATAGCGATAAGAATTTCGGACCAAGGAATGACGCAGATAAAATGAAAACGGAAATTAAAAAATGACAATAGGAGTAAAATTGTTTTCAAATATTACGTAAAGGATAAAAAGTGTATAAATACAGTGGTAGTAACCATGATAGAGTAAAAACAAGTAACAATGATAACGAAAAAACGCACTGAATTATATAGAATCACAGTTCAGCGTCAACGGTCAAAATATAGTGACGTAACGTAGCAACAACATCGTAAACAGGAATGGACAGTACTGTACAATTTTAGAATTTTGTCATATCGCTTTGGGCATTTTTACTTCGGTTGCGACTAATATGTGACAGTAGAATTAACAGAAATGTCGCAGTATGATCGAAAAAACATTTTCTCTTCCGAAAATGCGCCTGCATTCAGCAGACAATGTTTTTTCTTATTTACCGGGAGGTGAGCAACAGGTGAATCGCCGGGTACGTCAGCCGCTGACCCCAAGCTCATCTCATTTTCGGCAACTCTGTCTGTTAGAAAGGATTTTTGAAGAAAAGTCATACGTAGAATGTAAGTATACGTCACTCCACATCTACGGGCGTACATGGTAGACAGTGTAGGCGGCTTGGGGCAGGTGTGGAGCCACAGGTTGGTATAGGTGCCAAGATTCTCAAGGTTACATATATACAGACGGTCGGCGGCGGATCTCGAGCGGGGAGACGCAGCCTGGGGAAGGAAAGAGAGGTAGTGCGGTGTGAGGGTCAGCAGAGAGGAACAGAGAGAGCGAGAGGAGAGAGAATGAGAGAGAGGGAGGCGTGTGTGGATCTTATGGTGGTCATGGGCCATGGTGAGCGACGAATTTTCGCTCGAGAGCAGTAAATACAAGTGTTTTATGCCACTTTAAATGCTTCGATGGTTGTCTTCTCACCCCATAGTGATTATGCATGGAGGTCTGAGGGAAAGAACTTAGGTTTAGATTTACCATAAACCGTGAACTATGTTGGGAACCCTAAGTGATGATGTGATAATTACATTTTATACCAAGTGTTGAACAAAGGTTGAATGTGAAAGGAAACAGACTTTAAGAACAGATAGTATGTTGCCGTGTTATAATAGTAAATATATAGAGAGAAAACTAAGTTATTTCATGTACGAAAGGTTGTAAGAAATGGTTTCAAGTGAATATCTCTTAACTTGTATTAAATATTTTTACGGTTACATACTAGCAATGTATTCAAGGAGTTTTGATTTCATATTTAAGTTAACAAAGAAATATTCTGTGGAAAATGAAGCATTTATAATGATAAAACTTTACATTTAGGTAAGAAGTAAGATATTGCTGCATATTGTGGAATGCCAAAATGTAAAGTACTGGCAAAAAAGTAAAGATAAATCCATGTAGATGATCACCCATATTTTGATTTTAGTTGTCTGTAGTTCGTATGAAATGAGTATTGTGATATTATGCCTAATTTCTGTTGCGTAGTCTCTTGCATGAGCATTGTAGTGATATTCAGCAATTAGCCAAGTTTAATATTTTATTATTCAACCTTTTATTGCCTGTGGCATTGTACTTGTTTATTTATTTCTTCCATGTACTTATTTATTAATATATTGCTTTTCTTGTCGGTATCATATGTCTTATGTTGAATAATTCTGAATTGGTCATTGGGTGTATTAATTAATATTTCTTATATTGTTGGTTTAATTTCCCATGAAAGTAAATATATCTGTTGTGAAAATCCATTTTCATATTTACAGAGTGTAATGGCTGATGTTTATACAAATCCAGACAAACATGTGGTCCTTCACAACAATGTTAAAATGCCTATTCTTGGTTTAGGTAAGAAAAGTTACAGGGTATTTCAACAATATTTAGTGTATACATAAGTGGCTAGGCTCTGATATTGACCCTTGGCTAGACACGGCATTTCACACATTTCATGCTAGTTTGTTTCTGTCTGCAGGCACATCACACAATGGTGGATATAGTCATTCAGCTGTTGTGTATGCACTGAAAGATTGTGGGTATAGACATATTGATACAGCCAAACGGTATGGTTGTGAAGCTTACATTGCTAAAGCTGTTAAGGTAATGGTTGTTTTGGTTATGAAATATATCATGCTGTAATTTTTTTCTTTTTGTAATATTACTTGTAATTATATGAATACATAATGTAAAGACTGTATTGTCTCAGTTATGATTAAATACAAAACCTCTTGTTTTAAAAGAATAATGTTATAAATAATCTTTTCATAATCGATTTGCACTGAAAAATTACCAGGAATCAGAAGTCCCTCGTGATGAAATCTTCTTGGCGACAAAATGTTGGCCCACTGACTATGGGACCATTGCTACTCGAAATGCCTTCAATGGTTCCTGCGAAAGACTGGGGTCAGATTACATAGGTTAGCTGCTCTCAGTCTTCTAATAAAGACTAAAGGCATTTGATTATATTGGTGTTCTTGACTCAAAATGACAGTTTTCTTTTTCTCTTATATAGTTTCAGAAGTCTTCAATAACTAAAACTGGTGTTGAATTGTGATGTACTAACATAAAAGAGAATTATTACTACAGTTCACATTGAAAAATATCCTGTTTTAGTGAGGGAAAGTTTAATTTACAGAAAAGTTTTATTCACTGGAAAGTAATATTATTAACAAACAAAGATATTAAAAAAAAAAAAAAAAAAAAGTTCTGACCTGTATTTTTCAATACCCAATAGATCTTTATCTTCTGCATTGGCCTGATGTTCCTTCAAGTGTTAGTGACAGAAACCGCCTCCTGCAGGAGACATGGCGAACATTAGAGGTAAGCCTGACTCTTTTCTTTTGAATGATATACTTTTATCCTTTTCTCAGTCTTTAATTGTTACAAACTATTAGCATATGTGATTATATTGGTTGCTATATATTTTGTATATTTCATGGAAGATTGGAAATCAGTCTTTTTAGATGTGGTTGTAGTATTTACATTATATAGTTTATATATTGACTTCAGTAATTCTTGACCAAGAATATTTTAGAATGTATAAAAAAAACGTGATGCGTAAGAATTTGTAATTTACAGATGTATAGAGATCCATATCTATATATATTTTTGTGTGTGGATAGAATAATGAATCAGTGCATTTTATATTCATTTTATTATGAATATGTATTTGTGGCTGTGCATATGGATGTCTGTTTCTCTCTCTTGGTGATATAATGACAGACTCTCATGTTGCCATGTTCTCACATATATTGGAAACACATCAGGTGTTGCTGGATGAGGAACGTGTGAGAGCCATTGGGGTCAGCAACTTCCTTGAACGTCACCTTGATGTGATTCTTGAGGAATGTTCTGTGGTTCCTCATATCAACCAGTGTGAGTTCCATCCATTCAATAACCCCAAGCAATTGCGAGAATATTGTGATGAAAGGAAGATACAATTTGAGGTGAGAACATAAATCATTAAGTGAAATTTGTTCAGATTATATGTAAGAGAAATATGAATTAGTCTTGTGAATTATGTGAATAATTAGTAGTGCATTGAAAATTTTGTTGATCTTTTAAAGTGTTGCATAGTGATGGTTCTCTTCTTCAGATTTATACCACATATGTGTAGTTGTACAAAGTAAGGAACATGATTTTTTCCACCATAAAGGTCATGCATGTGTTGCAAAAACATACTTTACTTGAAATATCTATTTTCCTTATATGATTATGATTGTGTATCATTCTGTAGATGAATTTATAAATCTTATGCATTTTAAGGTAATTGTAAGCACATGCCATATTGATAAATAACAATTAATTTGGTGCCCCAGGGTTATTCCCCTCTAGCAAAAGGTTATGCTCTTGTCGACTCTACAGTGAAAGCTATTGCTAAACTTCATAGACGGAGCCCATCACAGGTCCTACTAAGGTGGTCTCTGCAGAGTAGGGTTCCTGCTATACCAAAATCAACCAAAGTGCAGCGGGTGATGGAAAATGCCCAGGTATTTTTATATGTGTAGGATCCTTTCAGGAAGAAGGTAGCATATGATTTGGGTGTGATTTCTAACTTAGGAATTCAGTACTACAGTCATTATTTATTTTTATTGTATATGTTTTTAACTAGTTGCAGTTCTGTTGGATATTGGAAAGGTTTGAGTCTTTTGGGATACCTAGATGTTCACATCTTTTTTGTTTGTTTGTTTTTATTTGAAATGTTTCAAACTGAAAACACACAGCTAAATCATATTGCTACCATTCTTCCATTACTCAGTAGATAAGTTTTACACTTTAAGGAGCTTTTCATTTGTTTCATACTTGGTTTGAAAAATATCAAAAACCTTCTTTTGATTTTAGGGTTACTGTCCGCTAGGTAACGGACAAATTCTCACGGACCCAAAAATTAAAGAAATTGCAGAGAGGCATAACAGATCCCCAGCTCAGGTTCTCATTCGTTGGAATCTCCACAATAGAGTAGTGTGCATCCCGAAATCAACCAGGGAGCACAGGGTCAAAGAAAACTCAGAGGTAGAAATTTGAGTGTGTGGAGTATTTGGTGTGTCTAGGCTGAATTACCCCATTTACAAGGCATTTGCAAGGGTGAGGATTCAAATACATTTTCTGTGGAAAAAAAGTGTGGTGTAAGAGAATACAGTTTGGTGGATTTTTCTTTTATATGTCAGTATCTAAATATTTTGCCTGTTAGGAGAGAAAAAAATATATACTGAGAATTTTAATACATAAAACTGATGTTAAAATTTACATTTTTGAAGTACATGATATGTTTTGAAATATGTATAAGTAAATGTTAGTGTAACACCTTTTTATTATTATTGAACCCTAAGTGTCTTCTGAATACATTGTAGTTCATAAGTATATGTAGTTAAACTGTTTCCTGATTCATGTATGGTGGTTAAAATTACTTATTTGTATGAAATAGAACTGTGTATTGTAATGTTAGAGAATATATTTGAATCCAAACATTCTCTTCCAAACTCAGTAAAAAATCATCTTAGTATACTTAAAGCATGACCTTATAACTAACCTATAATAGCACTAACATTAGTTGTTTTTTTACCTTGATATATATAACATATTACTTATGGTAGTATTTACATACTTTTACCCTTGCAGGTGTTTGATTTTGTTCTGCACCAAAAAGACATGGATAGTCTTTCTCTGTTAAATGATGACTTCCATGTCTCATGGGACCCTAATTCATTGCCGTGATTCTTTCTGTTTACACCCTGGCCCCTCCCCCAACACACACACACACTTCCTTGCTTCAGAGGTACGTGTTGTGGCAGGCAGCATTGTAAATGGAAGTGTTCATGCTCACCGTTTAATATTATAAGGCATTGTTTTTCAAGACCTTGTCAAAACTAACTTGATTGAAGCCCTGTACTTATACCATAGATATTTGTGTGATTAACCAGAATACTGGCTTGTGATTGTTGAATGTACGTTTTTCTTTTCTTTTTCTTTTTAATTAGTATTTGAGTTGCTTATTGTAGATTAAGAATTTTACATTTGTGTAACTTGGTTTTGCAGCATGGTTGGTACTCCTCCTTGTTACAAAAAGGGGTATAGTTCTTAATCAGTACAGGATGGTTCATCGTGGTAGTTTTTAGGAACTACTAACAGAGAAGACTGAATATTCATAAATTCTAAGAAACGTATGCTATCCATGATAAAATTTGTCATTTTATGAAAGAGGGGGGGGGATCGTGTCAGCAACTCATTGCCAATAAAAGTTATGAATTGTAAGTAAAGAAATAGGACTGCAATCAGTGTTGTAATCTTAAAGGGACAAAACTTCCTTATGTAATATCTGGCAAAACTTTCTTCCAGATATTTGACTTTGCTCTCACCGACGAGGACAGTGCAATCCTGGACAACATGGCTCAGAAACTGACAATCATGGAACGCAGTACAATACAACACAAAATTGATAATCCTCTACCTGATGGGTACAAGCTGAAGATGGTTAAAATACCTGCTGAGCCATAAACATCAGTATTATGGAATCCTAAAAAGGTTATTTTTTATGCAGTATCCTCATTTGTCCTCATAAAAGAGTAACTCATATTCTAACTTACATAAAATAATTCAATAAAGGAAGATATTGTGTACTTCCAGATACTTCCTGAAGCATCAGCCAATTGAACCAAAATCAAGACATAAATGTTCTAGTTTATATATTTTTTCATGCAGTACCATAACCCATTTGACTATTCCGCAATCTATATTTGTCAAACCCATACAAAAATATTCAGGCTTTGGTAGTCTTGGTACTTTGAGCCAATTCTACCATGCAGCTATGTTCTTGCTTACTGAATAATACATGAATGACTGTCTGCTTGAGTGATTGTAATGGAAAGTCTGATGGTCTATGTGTAGGTGTAGATGTGGGTGCAGGTGCATGTGATCACACGGGCATATCTGCCTATTCTGGGACATTTTAACAACAAAGGATCTTTGATAATTTTAATATATTTTGCTTTATTTGTACATTAGGATATTTAAGATATTCTGTAATAATGTTTCCATTATATTTATTTTTTTCCTCAAATGTTGTGATAGCTAAATTATATATGCCTCATCAGGTTTTTATTGATAATTTAGTTACACTTTAAGCCGAAGACAAAAGTATGGAGTGAAATAATGAAATAAAAATAAGTGTTTGTCATCTTTCTGGAAGGATGCTTTAGACAAAAGGAAGAACTCCTTACATTTTAGTATGTTTTTTGTGATGATGTTTGTATAAAGTTTTCTTTATTATGCCAGCTAATGGTTTTAGACATTAGATGATTATTGTAATAATCTTAATGGTTAGAAATGTGGAAAGTAGCAAGCATTATTTTATTGACTGACTTTTTTATAATAAAATATTTATCAGTATTCACATTCTTTTTTTTTTTTAATTCCCAGACAGTGAAGATAATGTTTATCATTGATATTGAGAGAGGGAGAAATGACAAAGAAAAAGATTAAAAAGAAAACTTTTTCCTTTCATTAAATATATCATTATAATTTGGAATATCAATATAATACCTAAGCATAAAGAAAGACATCTTGATTTTATTTGTTTTACTGCCAAATTACTTATTTCATCAGTTACCTTATGAACCATGTGAATCTTAGTATGCTTGGAAAAGGTTAACTCTTTTACTTTTTTACATGCTACAACCTAAGAATGACATTCATACATCAAAAAAGGTTTTAAATCTTTTAGACTATAATTAAGGAATATTACCATACTTCTAGTACAGCCAAGCAGTTGATACTAATATATTATGCACAATTTTCTGTACTAAAACAAACCACAGATAAGAATCTCTTCTTTTAAGAAGACATATTAGAATATTGTTGAAGGGGTTTCAGGATACACAATACTCATCAAATATGATATAACAGAACATGTCTTAGGAGACATTAGGTCTATTACTCAGTGGATTTTTGTTACTTATGTTGTAATGACTGTAGCAATAAAAAAGATAGAATTCCTTCAAGCTTATGTAATTCTTGTGTTTTTGACTATTGCAATAATGACATTCTGTAAGGCATAACAGTATTTTGGAACACTAAATATTTAGATATGAAAGTATTCCTATTACTCATGAATATGAGGTAAATTATTTACAAAAACATCCTGGCACACATAGCTCTTCTGCAAAAACATCCACACATGCATGCATGCACACACATGCCCGCATGCATGCATGCATGGACAAAAAACACACACACGCACACACAGACACAGACACACACACAAAATGTGTTTAGAAAAAGAATGACTTTAAGATGGTATTCATAAGTTTGATAATGTTTGATTCATGAAGTACATAAAACAGTGTACTTGTACTATTTGTCTGTAACTCTGCTGCCCTGCTATGCTTTCTCAGGGACATGACACAAGCTTTATACACAAATTATATTTAGATAATTGTTTTTTTCAAGAAATAAGAAAATCAGTGATTTTCCAAAGTGGTGAAGACTTTATTCTTTTAACAAGAAAAAAACTAGAGTTTTGGGGAATCAAGGCAATCGCAGGAAGCTGAAGCACTTGCACTCAAATATTCTAATGACCCAGTACTGTTACCTTTGCCTTGATCTACAGTGCCCCTTCAGTAGAGGTCTTTCCAGTTTTTTACCTCTACTGGAAGCAGATCTAGATAAGGGAAGGCATGTACAGCTTTAGCACCATTCATAAAGATAAACTGTAAACCATACTCTGATGCTTCAAACAAATAAATCTTAACACAGTACTATCACATTCCATAAGCTGACTATACAACAGAAGTATAATATCACGACAAGAGCACACAAAGGTTTATCTGTTGAAGTTGTACCCAGGAATATATATATAATACTCCTGTTCTTTAAGCAGCATAAAAGCATCATTTGCACTGATGAAACAACTCTTGATATCATTAGTTCAGTACAAAATATTAAACTCAATAGCACTATGTTAATCCCAAGAGGAAGCTCAATATACACTTATCACTCATAATATTTCATGGAGGTATCTGCACATAATAATGTGTATTGTCTAACCAAGTATATCACAAAGTAACTTAGTGAACACAGAAAATAACTTAGTCAACATAAAAAAAAAGTTTTTGAATTCAGGAGGCTAAAGCACAAACTGCCTCTGCCATTTTTAGGTTTAATTATGTGCATTACTTTCTGAACAACAAAAATTACATACCCTGATATAAGAACCGCAAGAATTGAGATCAGCCTCTGACTGAGAGATTTTAATATAAATATATAAACAATTGTACAGGTATTTGAGACTGACACTGCTTCTGCACTGGTAAACATAATTCATAAATAATACATCCCTAATAAATAAAGCAAGTGTCTTCACTGTGGCATTTCAGAGTGAAGAATCATAATATGAATACCTAAATGTGAATAATGGATTAAGTTTTCTTTTGCCTACTGTTCATAATTGAAATATGGTAAAAAATGCCATAATAGAAGCATGGCACATCAGTAACAAAATGAGGTCAGTTTCCTGGAAAATATCACTTACAGCCTTCTGAATTCATACTGACAATCCAAATGGAGACACTAGAATGCATAAATAGGAAGAGATACAATCAGGAGAGTGTGCAATCCAAATTATTTGAAGTTCTTTGGATACTATAGATCAGTGTTTCTCAACATGCTTTTTTCCTATGTATAGCATGTTTTTTTTATATATAGCATGAACTTTTACTTTTCATAAACATATAGAAAGAGTTTGGTTTATTTTACTAAAGTTCATACATGGTTAGGTCTTTATCTCTTGAAGAACAGGAACATCCTTTGCATGATTCAAGGACCCTTACATGATTACAAACTTAAGTACAGTATTTTGAGAACTATCATATCTCCAAGTTTCCCCCTATTACTGGGAACTTAAATATCTTCTGTTGAGAATCACTGTCTCTGATGATCCAAAGTGTTCAACACATTATATAAGAACATCACTATGAGTTTTAATCTTAACCCTCTGTGCATAGATGGCATGAAATACATACCATGTTTATTGTGGTTTTATCTTATTAATTGTGTTTACACATAGTAGGCTCCACAAGTACTTAATCACCTATGAGTCAGTTACTAGTTGTACCTATCTCACCTGTTTACCCTTTTCCATGATTTTTGGCAAAAATATTGTTATTTTTGTTACTATTAGTATTTCAACATCCTACTAATCACAATGTCATTGACAATAATAGTATGAACGTTAACAGCATTTGGAAGAAACAAATATTCAAGGAATAGGGAAATCTGGTGAGTTCACATTAGGCCTACTAATTGACCCCTTGGTGGCTAAGCACTTGTGCAACTATCTGTGTGCAAGTAAAATTCACAAGACACATGCCATGTACACACATATACAAAGGAATAAAAGAGACATCTGTGGTGATAACATTGTTTTGTCAAATGAAACAGTCTTTAGTAGATCTCTGCAAGCAAGTGAATAAATTATCTGATATCACAAGAGTAAGAAAGGCTGTACAGACTTAATCATGTTTTGCTGTACCAGAGTTCAAACTAGATAGAGCCCTTAGGAGAAATGAAGGAACTATCAGCTAACATCAACAAGAAAAGAAGTTCTAAGGCAAAAAGCTGTTACAAGCTTTATATTAAAGCTATATTTTCTATCTTCTCTAACAAACTGTGAAAGCAAAAATGAGGTGTTTGGAAGCAAAGGGGTAAACCCATCAAATCAGACTTACACAGAAAATGTTTCAGAGACCAAAATATAATATTTTCTTACATAATTGCCTTCTGATACATAAACAGAGATGAGTATAATTATGTATGCTGCAACTGTAGGCGATAACTGTGATTATAATTTCTTCCAAGTTAACATTTGGTGAATTAGCCCCATTACTTCCAAATGCTAACTAAATACTGAATTTCCTAGGAATCTTATTATGCACATATATCATTATCAATTGTATTTCACAGACCATATCTCATAAATACTAACTGCATTATAATAACATTCTAATGAATTAATAAATACCTACAGATACTGATACAGCATCATGTAATTATGGAATTCAGTCCACTGAAGGAAGGAATTTCTCAGTATAACACTAACTACACTGTCTCTGATGCAGTCCTTAGATGTACTGACATGAAGTAAGACACTGTTATTGTCAATAACAAATACCCAAGTAACAAAAAGTCATGCCTTTAAAAAATGCATCTCTGGCAAATGCTGACTACACTAGTAGTCTGTCCCTCATTTGTACTCAACATTTATTCTCTTATAATATCCTAAACATTCTCTCCTTGCTGACTTATCATATTAACCATGTCTCAGTCAAAAAAGCCTTCATTCCCCCATTCATTTTAATACCTGAATTCTATCATGCACTAATACTTCTTTCAGAAATATAAAAAATGCTTTACAGGGTAGACCACAATCCTTAAATACTCTAAATTCCTTCTTTGCTTTACTTTCAATACCTTAAAACTATAAAGTCATTGTATTATAGTCCTTCTTGAAAACCACATTACAGCCAATTAATTACTACTTTAACTATAGTACCTTATAAGAGTAGTTTTGTGTATGTCATATCCCTGGAAGAAGGTATACTCCAGTTGTTTGTTCTTTTTTGAGCAAAAGTAGTGCAAAGAAAATCTCTCAATATAATGGTACTCTATGTTACCAGCTTATGAAAATACAAGATTTAATTATGATATATATTGATAATGAAAACTACTTTTGAATATAAATTTTGAAAACGAGACTTTAAATAAAAGAAACAAAATGTAAAAAAAAAAATCATGAAAGCACATTCACAACTTCATCAAGGAGATGTGAAGGGTGATTTTCTGTATTGGAGAATCCCTTGATTGTGTCAAGCCGCTCGTCATCCAGCAGCTGTTCCAAACACCATTGGATTTTCTTCAAGTCATACAAGATGTGATTCTTGCCAGTCTGCCAAATCCCAAAGCTGAGATGTGTTTTCTTGCCTGAAAAAAAAGATAGATAGTTAGCAAGAGAGAAGGAGAGAGAGAGAGATTGAGAGAGAATAAGAGAGAGAGAGGAAAGGACAAGGAGAGGTGAGGAGAGGAGACGAGAAGAGAGGAGAGGAAAGGAGAGGGAAAGAGAGGATAGGATAGGAAAGGAGAGGAGAGAGAAGAAAAGACAAATTCATATAACCTACCAGTGAGAGTCTCGATCCTCCTTTTGGCAATAGTTTGAAGAAAAGTATAGAATTCATGGTAATCCATACCATGTGTGGCATGTAGAAGAAGCTGACATTGCCCAGTCCAATCATCCATGTCACTGCAGTCTCTTATGGCATACTCCACCTTCAAACACAAAAGCAAGGTTAGTTTATATCAGAACTGTATTTATCATATGACTGCCACTGAATCAAACAGATATCAAAAGCATATTAAATTCATGAATGAGTACTTTAACATGCTAATCAGGGGTTAAAATGAACAGCTGAATATTCTTGCAACAAAACTACTATTTTTGGTATTCTCACCTGCTGTAGAGATTCTACCAAGAAGTACCATGCTCTGTGGAGATTGGTTCCATTGAGCCAATTGTGGTTGATTGATATTGTATCTTCCTGTAAGAATATAAAAGACTATCAATAATTCAACTGTATCACATGAATGCCACCTAAAGTGATTCCTTCTGAATCAGCCTCTAGTTGAAACTTCATAATCTTACTTGAGACTTATACCTCACAACATCATAATAAAACTATCATGGTTGTCTCCACATAATATCTGAATCTTCTTTTCTAAAAATAAATGTAAAGATCTGTCAGTTCTTTTAAAGGTTGTCAAAAAAGTAAATTTTCTTACCAAATTCCACACTTGGTGGTGCCAACTAGAGGGCACAAAGATTGTTTCCCCTTGCTCCTGGATAACCTCTATCCGACCCTTGGCTGAAGCTGCATTTGGATATTTTCTAATATCTCTGTGATGAAGACATTGCAAGTAGTGCAACAGGGGGTGCATTATCTTTGGCAAAAGGGATGAGGACTTCTAAGGCAAAGTAGAGAGAGAGATGAAGAGTAAGAGTCAAAGTCAGGGATAAAGAGTCATAGATGGAAAATCAGAAAAGGATAAAGAAAAAATAAGAATTCAGATTATTGATGCTATGAGTGTATATATACACATCTAAAGTCCACTATGATTTATTCAATTAATCTTTCTTACATGCAAATGGCTGTATAAGTGCTGTTACCTTGAAGTCAAATACTAAGCTGACTTGACCTCCCCTTTTTACCCCATTAGTCAAATTTTTGGAAAGAAAAGTTTTTATCTTTATCACTATTGCTATTGTTTATATCATAATAATGAATCCAATGGTAATATAACATTAATGACTACAGTAACAGAAATAAAATCTTTGGCTTGTTGAACCAGCCGTGTAAAAATAAAATTGACAAAACAAACTACACTAATGAGTTAAATGAAAAAATGGAGTAGTGCATTGGGCAGAAAAGAAAGATGCAATCAAAATTATATTACATATATCAAATGGAATGCCATAAAAGGAAATATATCTTTTCATAATAGAAACTAAAATCTGGAGAACTTTTGTTTAACAGAACTCTCTGTAAATAATCAGCCTACAACTAAAATATAAAGACAAATGGTTACTCATCTTGTGTGATAATCTTAATCGAGAACACTTAAGTATAAAGTATCATTTAGCTAATAATCCATACTTTAAATCAGGAGAATCAACATCATATACAGGAGTGCCAAATGGGTCACGTAGAAACTGGTCCTCACCAGGGGGGTAAAATACCCAACGTTTCCGTCCACACACATTAGCAGACCAGCTGTATGATCGAAATACATCTGCATGGAAGGGTGTCCTGCAACCATTTGATAATTTTCAGGTAATTATTTAGTTCATCTAAATATAGAAGGGATTATTTTTAGAGAAAAATCTGCCATCAGGAAATTTAATACAGCTGCAAGATAGCAAAAATATCCAAATCACATAAAGTGTTTGTGATAGTTGTTACTTACCAAC